CCCCCCCCCCCCTCCTCTCTCTCCACCTTTTCTCTTCCTTTCTCTTTCACCTTTGTCTCCGTGTCTGGTCGGAATTACAAAGCATTCAACAACAATAACAATAAAGTTTTAAGTATCAGGCGTGACATTAAAAGCAAACGCTTTGATGCTCCACCTAAGAATAAATCTGTAAGGCTTGTCACCAGCATTCAGACATCAATTCTGCTTGCTTCACAGCCAGACAGGACACGGTAAAAAATAAAAAATAAAAAAAAATAAATAAAACTGCATTGCTGCTGGCGCTAGCATCAGTTAAGAGAGTGAGTGACCTAACCTGCCCTCTCAGTGGCTCCCGCATGCCTCAGGATCCGGGAGGATGGCGGGTCTGCTGTTTTATGCCCCAACCCAGCCTTTGTGCCCAAAAGCATTAATGCTTCCTTCAAATCCAGGTCAATTTCATTGGCTGGACTTTTTCCTCCTCCCCATAATTCTGAGGAGGAGGCGGCTTCTCACCTTCTCTGCCCGGTGCGCGCGCTTGCACGATATGTGTCACGCACTTCAGGGATTCGTCGCTCACAAAACCTGTTTTTGCACTACAGGGAGTCTTCCCTTGGTCGGGCGCTGTCGGCCCAGCGCCTTTCACACTGGCTGTGTGACGCCATTTCCCTCGCTTACACATCATCAGGGCAGGATCCCCCTGAGGCACTCAGGGCTCACTCAGCCAGAGGAATTTCCTCTTCTATGGCACTCCTCAGTGGTGTGTCAATGGAAGACATTTGTCAGGCTGCTTCATGGGCTTCACCCTGTTCCTTTACTCGTTATTATTTACGAGATGTGTCTTCAGGTTCCATCACTCGTTCAGTGCTTGGACCCCAGCAGGCTAAATGAAGGCTTATGGCACCTCATTGGCCTTGCTGAGATGGATTTCATCCTCTTGTGGATGATGTTTTTTAGTGGGGGCCCCTCTTTTATCGTGGCTGCCTCAGTCTTTAAGCCTGGTCTGAGGCTGAACGTCCCCCACTAGAGGAGATTTGATTGGGTGTGTCCATTGGTTGTGTTAACCAGTGGGGCGTAAACCCATCCAGCTGTGCTTTATTCCAATAGCAGCTAGCTTAAGGGCTAAGACTAGACAAAATAGAATGTTGGTTACGTATTGTAACCCCAGATTCTATGAGTCTAGTCGCAGCCCTTAAGCCACTGGCCCCACTGGTTATAATGGGAATAAGAGCCATTGGAGGTGAGCAGTGGGGTCACTGCGGTTATATACCACAAGAGGGCCCACTATTGGTGGGCGTACATTTTAGCTCTTCATGATTGGCTGATGCGGAGATCATCCTTCCAATAGCAGCTAGCTTAAGGGCTGCGACTAGACTCATAGAATCTGGGGTTACAATACGTAACCAACGTTTCTGGTTCTGGTGGATGCAGAACCAGTGAAGATACCCGATGGGAGGGGTGAACATTCTGTGACAGTGTTTACATTCAAAACTAAGCTTGTTTGCTGATTCACTAAAGCAGCTGAATGTCAATAAAAACCACAAAATCATTTATTTCTAGCTTATATTAAAAAAATAATAATCTTGGCAATTATTGCAACTGTCCAATATTAATTCAATGGAAATAAATCATGACAACAGTATTTAGAAATTAAATGTAACATTTGAACTAATAAGGGACTGTATATTATACCTTCCAGAGCAACGATAGGCACAATATATGAATGAAACCCTGCCTCCACCCTTGTGAATTCCACCCAGTTCATAATGTAACTGTATTTTCCAGCGACCAGCATGTCTCACTCAGTGAGCGGTCGATGGACTAAACCCGGCAAGGCTTTTTAAAATAAAAGACCTTTGACATTTTGGATAGTTTATTCTACATGGGACATTTTTCGTCTTAGAAACAGTTGTTTTAAATCAGTCAAGCAATATAGCTTTAATAAAGGTTCACTAGAAGGAAATGCGTTATATTATAAATAAATAAATGGCATTTGATATGTAAAATCTGTGGGGAGGTTTTCAAAGTGTTAATGCCATTTTTATGTTTAGCACCATGTTTCAGTTCAATACACACTGCATCCTGAAGTGCACAAATCTTTGGTGCATAAAGAGAAGGAGATTGTGATCTCAGCCCTGCATCTCAACAATGTGTTGCTCTGTGTTGGGCTGTCTTGTAAATGTCAGGCTGAAGTTGATTTATGGTGTGAGAGTGACGTACGTAGCCTCCCAAGCAAGGCACTGATTGTATCATTAAATAAATAGGATTCTGAGTATTTGTGTGTCGTGTGTGCATGTGTGAGAGAGGTACTTGGTGAAAGATTGAAAGAATGAGACTGCACAGGTGTTAGCTTGACAGGCTTAAGTGTTTGTGCCACACTGCAATCAATGGGGCTGTTTTTGTGTCTTCATTCTGTTTTTGAGGCTAAATGTGCTCCGTGGTTGTTATGATTTGTAGGTTGATGTTGGGTTTTGTGGCAATGCCCTGGTTTTTTTAGTTAGTCTTGGAATAGTTGTGTTTTTTAACTGCTTGCTGTTTAGATAGTAACGGTCTTGTTTATAAATCATGTATTCAAATCTACATTTGAAAGATTTTGTTACATGGGTAAACATCCTGCCAGAAACCTTGATATGCACACAGCAGTAAAAACCTTTTTTTTTCCCTTACACAATTTCAGTTTTTTTGCGACAAATGTTTCAGATCAACAAATTTACGTATCAGACAAAGAAAATCTGTGACAATATAAAATGCTGATTTTCTTTATTGAGGAGAAAAAAAGTCATCCAAACTTAACTGATTGTATATGAAAAAGTAAGTGGTCCCTAAACTTAGTTTTAGGTTGTTACATCTTTGTCAGCAAAATCTGCAATCAAGCATTTGTGATAACGAGTAATGATTCACATCTCTGTGGAGGAATTTTGTCCCACTCATCTTTGCAGAAAGTGTTTTTTTTTAATTAGCCACACTGGAGAGTTTAACAGAAGGATTGGAAAGGTTTAAGGTCAAAGGTCAGACATTCACCTCCAGGAATTTCTGCTAGAAAGCGAAATTCATGGTTGGATCAATTACAGCAAGTTGCCCAGGTCCCAAAGCAGCCACACAGTCCCAGACTAGTCTTTTTTTTAATCCCGCTGTCTGTCTTTCTCAATCAATCCTGCCAGCTTCCCGCCTCCCAATACATAGACCAATGAAAATAAACTAAGTTAGTCTGACTGACCATGTTGCACCTTTGATGTTTCTGTATATCAAAGCTTCCCTTCATTTCTTTAGTTTCATATTCTACAGCCATACTTGTGTTAACTACCTCAGACGCAATCTCCATTTTCAGGAAATTTCAGGACCCACAGTTTTTTTTCTCAGCCACCCTTTCCTTGTCCAGCATCTGTGTGAGTGTGTGTGTGCATGCGTGCGTGCGTGTGTGTTAGTCAGCAGAGGTTCGATCATCAGTACTTTCACATGGAGGCCTTTAATGGGGTACCATGATTTTCTTCGCAGGCCAGTCTCAGAAGCCCTAACTACAATTTGGTAACAATTTTATTTTCCTTGATTTTTAGTCACATTGTAATTATATTTGCCAGTCTCTTTAGTGACCCATTTGGTATGATTTCTCAAATATAAAGGTAGTATTTTTTTTATCTCTTTATTTAAAATATATCACAATATCAACAAGCCCAATACTAGAATTACAAAAGACTGCAGACTTAGTCGGTCAGACAGATGAAGTCTTACTACTCCTTATGGTCATATTCAGTCATTTTCAGTCTATATAATAGTGGACAAGATGGCAAATCAAGCACATAAGACAGAAAAGAGATAGCGTTTCTCTTCAGGTTTTACAAAATTAACAGCGTCTCAATAGCATGTTTTCAGGCTGTCTAAAAATCAGCACCATCTGCAATTATTAACCTGTATACCCTCACTTTAGAAACACATTTGAAATGCATATGCTGTCTGGAGACCACACTGTTGGCGATTGAACGTTCAAGGATATCACTTGGACCGTGTGCTGCACAAAAGGGAAAATGCAAAAAGGTAAACCAAAGGGAGGAAAGCGGGGAGTTGGGTCTGAACAAATGAGGCAGTGATCGGTGCTGACACTTCATTATGGCTGGTAAATGCAGCTACGTGGGGGTAGCTGCAGGAGATACTGGAGCCCTAATTGGAGTGGATGGGAAAGATTCTCATCTCATAACAAAATCACAGATATTTACGTGCTTACACTTCTGGCAACACAGAAAGTTGGAAAGTGTGTAGCAGAGGTGAAGGCTAGAAAACAATATGATTTTCTTTGAGTCTGAGAGCTTTTTTATACTTGCTTTATATGTGATATATGTACTGTTCACATACCAATTTAAAACATAAAATGCAAATTTTCTGTCATTTCCAGCTATTTTGTCGATGCGTAAAAATAAATAAACTTTCTATCCCATTTGCACTTTTTGTTTGCGTTTACAATACCATTGTTATACTAACAGGAAAAAAGTGTGTGCCAATGAAAAGTTAGCTTGGCACATCTGTTTGAATAAAAGGATGCAAACTGCCACAGCTCAAACTTATTTTATTTGGACTTACAAAGACCTGTAAATACTGGAATAAATAGGCACTTACGCTGCATGTGTTTATAACAATAAAGCACTGCTTTGTTCAGTTTTCAGCATACAGATATATGTAATTTTAGAAGATGTGGTTTTGTATTTAATAGCAAAGCACTGCAGGGTGTTATGAGCAAATGCATGTTTGTAAATTCAAGGTTTGGATATTTTCTTTTTGTCTCAATTGAAATTGCGTGAGGATGGTTTCATTCAAAGGAAGAACAACAAAGGACTTTTTTGACAGAACTTCTTTCACAATACAGGATTTGACTCTGGGAGCTGTGATTGAATTTGCGACTATCGATAGTAGAATTATTATAGACAACATTGATGCGTTTCGTTTGCAATACAAACAGTTTTCCTAAATCTAAAATAACATAGGAGAATTGAGCATAATGTTGTTGTTGTTGTTGTTGTTGTTGTTTGTTGTAGGTTCTTTCACCTTTGACAGCATCGGTCCTGGCTGAAAGGAGCATCAGGGTGCAGGATGATAAAGTCAGTGTGACAGAACTGGGGGTGCAGCTGGTTTCTGGTCTTTCTCTAAGCCTGCAACTGAGTCCTGGGAGCAACAGAGCCATTGTTGCTACTGCAACAACACAAGAGGTCATTGCTTCACTAAAACAGGTAAAACTCTTCCACATATAAAAAATATATCTTTAAATATTTATGAGAATTTTCATCAACCTGTGAGAAAGAGAGAAATCACTGTATTACTACTGCAATGCTCAGATTTGTATTTGGGTTATAATGCTCATTGTCACTTTTCTTTTAATTAATTACCACACAATCTGAAGTTTTCTCTTTGATTTCTATCTGCAGCCACTGAATAATGATAGGCTGCAGTCACATCCCATGAGAATATTTTGCCTTCATGAGAATAATTTCAAATCCTTCCCAGCTTTTCTACTGTAATTAAGACACATTTTTTCCTCCCTCTTGTGCCTCTGTTTTATTTTTATCCTTATTAATTTCAGATGAATGTGCAAATTTATGTTTATGGATTTATTTTATTTTTCACCCAGGGTTACTGATGTTTGGCTTTGTTTCTGTTTTCACAGGAGTCCCTGATCAGTGCTTGGATTCAGTTCAGCGATGGATTTACGACTCCCCTAGATAACTACAACCCTACCCATTTTACCTTGGCAGCCACCTCTCTGGATGAGCGGGTGGTGGCGGTGCAGCGCAGCGCAGTGTGGAAGTGGCCAATCATTGTTGCTAAGGGTGAAGGGCAAGGCTTGCTTCTCCGTGTCGAAATGAGTCCCTCTGAAGTGTGCCAAAGGGGTAAACGGCGTTCAGCTTTAGCCACTGGGATGGCGAACATCCAGATAAGATTTGGTCAACCAGAAGAACAATACAGACAACCAGGAGACAGAAGAACGCGTCCTGATCCTCCGTACTATGGTGGCTCTATCTCTGATATGGAAACTGGTCTGAATAACAGAGGAGTGACAACTATCAGGGGACATACCCCACTGAAGCCTAGTGGGGGGCGTCTATCAGCAGACAGTGGAGACAGGACCCGAAATGAAATGTCTGAATACTCTGAGAAAGCCGAGCTGCCTCGAAGTCGCAGCACTGACGAGGACCTGTTACCATCCCGACGAGGCCTGACAGACTTGGAGATTGGGATGTATGCCCTTTTAGGAGTCTTCTGCCTGGCTATCCTGGTGTTCCTCATCAACTGCATCTCCTATGCATACAAGTACCGTAGCAAGCATCTATCTCTAGAAGCCCCCGAGGCTATGCCCCATGCCCATGACTGGGTCTGGCTTGGCCAAGAGGAGGAGTTGTGTTTGCAGCAACAGCATCACGAAGAACTGAGCGGTGCCCTGGAAGAAGGCAGTCAGCTGTTAAACGGAGGCATCTCGTGCGATAGCAGCGACGGGGGAGGATGCAGCTCCAGTGGGAGGGATCACAGGAACGAATCGCTTAACTCACCCACCACCAAAAGGAAGAGGGTGAAGTTCTCCACCTTCTCCAATGTGAAGTCCAGTAACGGGTGTCCGGTGCTCAGCCCTTTAGCACTAGTGCAGACCAGTGACATCAAATGGGTATGCCCAGACATCGAGCTTGGGGACTCAAAGGATATTAGGGACTACATGGAAAAGCTTAATGAGAATGCAATTGAGAGCAATGCTTAAAGGATACGGGGTGTTATCCACGAACTAAAGAGAAACTCACCTGAATGCCTTCAGATTAAGGAGGAAGAGAAAAGAGATGAGAAAAGAACAAGTGGTGAGGAAAAACTCGATGCCTCACCGTGAAAGCTGAACAGTGGACTCCATCACTTAAGTTTCCATGGCAGTACTCAGAAGGGGTCAAGCAGGAAATTTAAAGACTTAAGTTGCCATGACACGAGAGCATAGTTAAAGAGAGCAACATGTGAAAATTGTATCGTTGCATAACTTAACTGTACATTCTTTGTCTTCATCTGAGGTAGAGTTTTCAGTTTTCTCTTGTTTGAAATATTTATTGTTTTTATGTTGCATTTGTTTTACTTTTTGTAGCATTTTCTTTTCTAATATGCCCCTCACCTCAAGATGGAGATTTTAGAATTTAGGGAAGAAGAGTTCGGAGCTATTTTCTATTGTACATAGATGCAGAGTTTGATTTAGCGTTACTAATTGTATAGTAACATTTTGTAAAGTGCTGTTTGGTTTTGTTCCTGTTTTGTTTGAGTTTTTGTTTCATCTCCAGAAGTCAGATCCATGCATGATGTTATTTAAAATGAGTCATGTGTGTCTGATCTGGTACAAAAACAGAAAAATGTAGATAAATAAATAAAACTTTGGAGACATGTCAGTCCAGTATCCACCGGGGCTACGTATAGGGTTGGGTTTGTTATATTTGTTTTGGTTAGATCCTTCATTTTCCCTTCTTTTTTATTACAGTTGATTATTCCACTTTGTATATTTCAAGTAGACTTTTTTTTTTACTAATTTAACTGGCCTCATGTTACAAATATATCTGAACTTGTTACTTTCAACAGGAAGAAAAAAACATCTTTAGGAATCCAGAACATGTAAAGACAATCACATAAGTAATGTGAGTCCCTGTGTATTTTGTTTAATGTTTCAAGTAAATAATCTTAAAGGTTGTTTTGTCTGGAATAAACAAATATGGTTTGTTAACTCTAAATACCATTTTTGGAGCACAGAATCAAAGCCATTATAATAGAAAAAAGAACAAACTGTGAAACAAAATTCTACTTATGCCCCATCAACCCCCTATGTCTTATTGCAGTATAAGTCAGGTTCATCATTTTCTTCCGTATCTCTGTTTGAAAATTGACCGAAGGACTAATTAAAACTGAAGGTGACTCTTGTTCATCTGTGTGATTCTTTGGTCTATTTTTTGTCTGTCTGTACCATGTGTGTGTGTGTGTGTGTGTGTGTGTGTGTGTGTGTGTGTGTGTGTGTGTGTGTGTGTGTGTGTGTGTGTGTGTGTGTGTGTGTGTGTGTGTGTGTGTGTGTGTGCATGTACTTATTACCTACTGAGGACCATCATGAGGTTTTAAACAGAGTGAGGTCATTTTGCAAAGTGAGGACATTTTTGTGATCCTCACTTAAAAAAAACTTACCAGTTAGTTTTAGAGGTATGTAGTAAGTTTTTTTGAGGTTATGATTGGAATAGATCAGCATTGGTTAGGTTAGGCCGCGCGAGCTGCCGCTAGGGGGTGCGCGAGGTGAAAAGTGTAATGGCTGTGGAGCTCAGAGAAGTCTGTCATATGTCCCCATTAGCGTAGCCAGAAACTCATTTGTGGGTGGGCCTAAGAAAAAGTAAGTGGGCCCAATAAATGTAATTGAAAACAAGTATATTTTTGCGTGCGCGCACATGTGTGTGTGTGTGACCTCGGCATTTGCCCTAGCTTCATACTAACAATGCGCCGAGCTTCAGCACTCTGGCCTGTGCATGCCGATATGTTCCGTATTTGATCATTTTTAACGATGTTGGAGGAATCTGAAGGTGGTGAGTCATTCTGCCAGATTGTAATTAACACAGCTGTCTCATGCAGGTGTTCTGACATTGTAAACCTCACACACAGAGTATTGTGGATGTAACAAAATAAATCAAGAAATGATTCCCATTCAGGCTATTAACAGCGCGCTGAAGATCTGAAGTTCAGAGTGCGTCTGTCAGAGGTCAGACGCATTCCAGCGGAACCACGGCTGACGGGTGCACAAGTGAGCACATCTGGGCTGGGCAGAAGTAATTTTACAACATTGGTTTAAATAGCGCCAATAATGAGACGCGGTGACTTGAGCGGCTCATGGAGCTGTGCCGCGCACACACACACACACAGATTCAATAAGCGTGCATGCTGCACAAACTCCGGTGCGCCGTCAGACTGAAGACAGACATGAGCGCTGCCTCCTCTGTGATAAAAACTTTTAAGAGGTTTTATAACATTTTTCATTCAAGGTCAAATTAAGATATTAGCTTCTATTTTGGGATGACGTATTAAAGTCGGGTCCGCTCCAGCCAGTGACTCCTCATGAACCTGACTACAGCTCATGTTACTGCAGCATTTGTTGTTCCAGTCCGCGTGGCAGTGGATCGCAGATTCAGCCACACCATAAAACAGCAATAAGTCGGTCTGAGGCTTTAGTGAACCTCATGGCTATACCTTTAACCATCTTTTCCCCTATAGACATTTAATTACGCACAAGTAGGTGATCAGCTCAGGTTTACACAGAGCAGAAGGAAGGAGAGTGCTCTGGCCACACAGGTTAAACGTTCCTACTTTAAGAAAACCGTTAAATTGCATTTTTTATGTTCTACCTGGGCACTTTAAATATTTATTTAAAATTAAATCAAAGGAAATTGTAATGGTATCGAATGTTTATTAATTACAATTTAAAACATGAAAGTGATGGGGAAAAAGGTTGATCATATTTTTTTAACCCTGTCTGTTTAGCTTGATGTCTGATATATATATATATATATATATATATATATATATATATATATATATATATATATATATATATATATATATATATATATATATATATATATATATATATATAATAGCCATGCCCTGATGTGGGGGCTGGGGGGTGCGTCAACATGGTCGGGACATAGAAGGGGGTGCATGGCTAAATAAGTTTGGAAACCACTGGGTTAGGCATTGTGAAGCCACAAAAATGAATGGTAGTCAATGGGGGGGAGATGATTTTCTATTGTAACACATATTAAGATTATTGCTATTCTTCCTCTACAAGTGGATGATTCATTTTATCATAAAGGATATTGTATTGACAAGTTACCAAAACAAAGAGGATATCGTTTTTATGGTAAACTTGATTCATTGCTCATTGAATATCCATTCATGTGTTCAAAAATATATTATTTAGGCAGCATTTTTATTAAACTGTTCAGTAACTAATTTGTTTAGCAGTCAAACATAATTTCTCCAACACTGAGAAAGTTGTGATATTACTGTGAAAATAGTTTTTGTTGACCTTGTGGGCAGCAGTATCTCAGGAGGTAGAGCAGGTTGTCCAGTAATCAGAAGGTTACTAGACAAACTGGACATGCCGTTTCAATCCCAACTCCCACAGGAAAATTCTGCTGTTGTGTCCTTGGGCAAGACACTTAACCCGCCCCGCCTGCTGGTGGTGACCAGAAGGAACAGTAGTGCCAGTGTTCAATCAATCAATCAAATTTTCTTTGTGGTAGTGCCTTTCACTGTCTACAGAAGCCCAAGTTGCTAAACGTGACATAAAAATAATAAAAGAGCAGGGAAAAATAAAACACATAAAAGCAGCATTTAAAAATGATAACACTGAAACAATAGAAGACCAAAAATCTAAAAACCATGTTACATAAAGCAACTCTTGAAGACCTGCAGTGATGGTGACTGTTTGATAAAAAGTGGGAGCTCATTCTAGAGTTTAGGACAGAAAAGGTCCGATCACCACTAGTCTTGTATCTTGTCCGTGGGACTATTAGTAATTCTTGATCAGTCGAGCATAGGGAGCATGAAGGGGCATGTATGGCAAGCCAAATGAGCATTTATTCTGATATCAGGATATCAGCCAGAATTGTCATGAACATGTAAGCCATTTCTGTCCACTAGTTAACTAGTTAGACATGTTTGTGTCAACTAGTTAAATATCGAGGGTGAAAATGTGCCCACTAGTTAACTAGTGACAGCAGAAATGCGCACTAGTTAACTAGTGAACACATTTAGGCTTCAGTAGTTAACTAGTTGACACAAAAACTGCTCACTAGTTAACTAGTAAAAGCAGAAATGCATAGCAGTCAGCTACTTGAAGGTATTTGTCTCACTAGTTAACTAGTGAGGGTCAAAATGTGCACACTAGTTAACTTGTGGTAGACATAAATGCGCACTAGTTAACTAGTGAACATATTTTGGCTTCACTAGTTAACTAGTTGACACATAAATGGCTCACTAGTTAACTAGTAAAGACCAAAATGCATACCAGTCAGCTAGTTGAAGGTTTTTGTGTCTCACTAGTTAACTAGTGATGGCCAAAATGTGCACACTAGTTAACTTGTGGTAGACATAAATGTGCACTAGTTAACTAGTGAACACATTTTGGCTTCACTAGTTAACTAGTTGTCACATAAATGGCTCACTAGTTAAGTAGTAAAGGCCAAAGTGCATACCAGTCAGCTAGTTGAAGGTTTTTTGTGTCTCACTAGTTAACTATTGATGGCCAAAATGTGCACACTAGTTAACTAGTGAAGGCTTAACTCCTAACTAGTTAACTAGTTGGAGTAGGTCAGTACCACTAGTTAACTAGTGAACCATTAATGGCTCACTAGCTAGCTAGTTGATGGCAGCAGGCTCACTAGTTACCTAGTTGATGCATCCATTGTCCAAACTAGTTAACTAGTGAGGACATAAATGTATACTAGTAAACTAGTTCAAGTCTACATTCACACTAGCTAGCTAGTTGCGCAGAATTCTAATTAGGAGGCGGAGAATTTCTCAAATTAAGACTCTCTATTGGCTCCCTGTGTCAAAATAAAATATGACAACCAATCACAGTGCGGAATTTCGTAAAATCCCACCCCAAACATTTGCATGCGGCACACAAGTTAACATGCTGGCCAGAGGAACCTCAGCTAGTGAACTAGTAGTGGCTTCAGTGTGACACTTACATGTAAACTTGTGAAGGCAGAACTGCTCACTAGTTAACTAGAGAGGGTACAAATGTCCACTAGTTAACTAGTGAGGTGCAAAATAAGTGTCACTAGTTCACTAGTGGGCCCCAAATCGCCCACAAGTTAACTAGTAAGGTGCGGATATGCTCACTAGTTAACTAGTGAGGTGCAGATTTGCTCACTAGTTAACTAGTGCGCCCTAAAGTGCCCACTAGTTAACTAGTAAGGTGCAAAAAAGCATCACTAGTTAACTTGTAAAGTGCAGATATGCTCACTAGTTAACTAGTGGGCCCCAAAATGTCAACAAGTTAACTAGTAGGGTGCGGATTTGCTCACTAGTTAACTAGTGAGGCACAGATATGCTCACTAGTTAACTAGTGATGTGCGGATTTGCTCACTAGTTAACTAGTGAGGTGCAGATTTGCTCACTAGTTAACTAGTGTGCCCTAAAGCACCCACTAGTTAACTAGTAAGGTGCAAAAAAGCATCACTAGTTAACTTGTAAAGTGCAGATATGCTCACTAGTTAACTAGTGGGCCCCAAAACGCCAACTAGTTAACTAGTAGGGTGCGGATTTGCTCACTAGTTAACTAGTGAGGCACAGATATGCTCACTAGTTAACTAGTGAAGTGCGGATTTGCTTACTAGCTAACTAGTGAGGCGCGGATTTGCTCACTAGTTAACTAGTGAAGTGCAGATTTGCTCACTAGTTAACTAGTGAGGTGCGGATTTGCTCACTAGTTAACTAGTGAGGTGCGGATTTGCTCACTAGTTAACTAGTGAGGTGCGGATTTGCTCACTAGTTAACTAGTGAGGTGCAGATATGCTCACTAGTTAACTAGTGAGGTGCAGATATGCTCACTAGTTAACTAGTGCGCACAAGACGCACACTAGTTGCTGTTTTTGGAGCAATCTAGTTTACTTGTTATGTAAAAATGTGTTCTTACTAGTTAACTAGTGACAAATTTACCTTCACTAGTTAACTAGTTGACATATTTGGCCTTTCTAGTTCACTTGTAATGGGACAGGAAGCACTCACTAGTTAACTAGTGAGCATATCTGCATTACAATTTTTTCTCACTAGCTTATAGAGGGCAAACTGAGCCTTACATGTTAAGTAGTGAACACAAAACACTGTCACTAGTTAACTAGCTGCAGAAAAATGCCCCTAAAACTAGTAAATTTGTGGA